CACCAATTATCTCAATCAAAATGTAGAAAAAGTAAAGGAGGCTGTAAAATGTCATCTGTATAGCATAAAAAGGTAAACATCCCAAGTTGTTGTCTAGCATCTCAGACAAGTGGGTTGAAGCTGCTGTTGGTCTACAGAAACAAGATAAAGTTCCTATCCCCTCTGCCCGAGTGGTCCTTCCCAATCTTCTTCTCAGTATCTGGCAGATTTGCATTGGCAGTGCAGGGGGTGATGCGCTAAGTTTCTGTGTTTTTGTATTGTTGTAAGCCTTCCCAATGTGCGCCCTGCTATAAAGGCCGGTTATAGATTCATGCATGTACCATTTTTTTTCTAGTTTGACTATTTTGGGTTAGGGGGACGCACTGGAGTCCCAGCGTGCATTTTTGGTTGCTGGGCCTCCAGTGCGTCCCTGCACCTTTATCAGGAGGAGTTGGCTACCTCCAGGTACACCTGCATGTAATTTATCAACTTCATTAATATGCTCACACTTGGAGACTCGGATACATGGAGTTAGGACCACACTTTGCAGAGGTGCCTTGGCGCAGCAGTGTGGCTTCTACATATTTTTGGCCAAAAGTTTGTGCAACTAAAACCTCTGATTTTAACACATACTGTTGACAGGGCTACTTGTTTGGTTGCAGGCTGGCTGGCAGGTTGAGGCTGGGGAATTTCTGTGTTTTGTAGTGATGCGCTAAGTCCCCCTACCTCATAAAAGTTTGAAATCTGTTTGCAGTCCCAAAGACGGATGGGGTTTGGCTCTTTCTGGACCTCAAGGGGCTCTACACCTTTTGTAAACTAAGGATGGAGTCTTTTCAATTGCTAATGACCTCTCTCTATAAGTGGGTCCTGTACGCCATGGTTGACTTCAAGGGTGCTTACTTGAATGTTGCCATTTTCCTGGTCACCAACTATCGCTCTGCTTTGCAGTAGGGAGAACCATTACTGGTTTGTAGCCCCTTTTTCTGCTTGATGTTTACCAAGGTATTGGCCCCTGTTCTGTACTTTGCTACGAGGGTTCTTGATAGTCTGGTACCTGGGAAACCTGCTGCTTTGAGTAAAATCTGTTTCGACCTTTTGAATCCAATCTATCTCTGTCCATTTGAACCCTGCAAAATTTTATTGGCCTCTTGCCCTACAGAAATTTTGTTTTTTGTCCCATCTTTCCTTCTCGGCTACTTGGGTCTGGCCATGCCCACCATAATGGTCAAGGGGTTTCTCCTATCCCAGAAGCTTCAGTCCTTTCCTTTTTTTTAGCTCATGAGCTCACGCAGGTGGGCATTAATTCGCTTTGCATGCAAGTTCTAGGTCTAATGATCTGGTTCGAGACAGCCTCCTATGCACAACACCACACTTAAATCCTACAGATGAAAATCCTCTCCATACTCTGGACAGGAGAATCAAGCCGAGTCTTCTGTCAGTCATCTTTGCTTTGGTGGCTCACCACGGCTGAGTGCTGGAAAATTGTGGCGGATGCTAGCTCATTGGACTGGGAAGGTGTGCAGGGTCAACTCTCAGCTCAAGGGCTTTGTTCCCACCAGGAGGTTGCTTTTCCATCAATGTACTGAATTTTTATGCAATCAGACTGTCACTCCCGCACTGGGCAAGTCAACTGGATAGGACATCCAGTTTGACAGCACCAAACAGTGTGGTGTTCATCAATTGCCAAAGAGGGACAAAGAAAGTGGCTGCAACGCTGGAAATGTTCCACATCATGTTGTAAAATGTGGTGGGGCGACGGTGCCAGGTGGTGCGTGTCTCAGGAGCTTTTCACCACTAGACATCAGTTTCACCGGTCTGCAAGCAGCTACCTGGTAATCTACTCATACCTTACCAAGGTTGAAGTTCTATGCATCTTGGCATACTAGTTTTGGATACAACGTCTTGCAGGTTGGCGTCTACCGTTCTTGCATTGGAAGAGTTTCTTGTTGCAGTTGTTTGCAAGTTTTTGCTATTGCCCTCCCCTCTAGGCATTACTTTTGGCTGTCCCAATCATGAAGAATAGAGGAAGCTATGTCTGTCAATCAGTTTATTGACAAAGGTAGCACTTGCCCCTTTTGTTTTTGTTGGCTGCTGCCTATATATTTTTGATTACCCTTTTTTTTTTTTTCTTCCCTCCTTTCTTTACTGTTTTTACTAACTGAGCTCTTTGGGAAGTAAGGGTGTTTGGCCTCCAGCAGAGGCTGACCCCCCAGCCTGAGCTTTTGTTTTATACCTAGTGTCCTACTCCTGTAGAATAATCCAGTCGTAAAGAATCGAAAAGGAAGTCTCATGTTTTGAGGAGTAAAAGATTTTAGGAGTACAAAAACAATCCTTTTTTTTTTTTTTTTTTCAGCTTTTTTTTTTTTTTCTTCATTTGCAGGTTATGTTACAGAAAGCATTTTGTTATCACTGTCAACCTAAATGTATCAAGCTTTCTCAAGAGTGCAATCAAAACTCTTATCAAAATTATAATAAATTAAGCCCTGCAGTGCTTAAATGAAATCCAAGATTATTGTTTTTAAATGCAGAAGGCTTTGGTTGCCATACTTCATCATTCACACTCTTCTTTTCTTTTGTTAAAACCCAGAGGCAGGTTAACTCTGTCAACATGGCTAATGTGATGGTTTTCAGACCATTTTCAGCTACTTTGCTATAGACAGCAGTTACATGATTTATGCTGTGTATATAGAGTGTATTTTTAGCATTTTAAAGGTAGGACCATTTTAAGGGGAGGACAGGGAGACTTTGGCCTGGAGAGGATAATACAGCCAACTAGCTACATAATGCCCAACGTGTCGCTTACTGCAGGACCCACTCTGTTCAATGTCTGAATGAAGAAGTGTCTCCACTCAGGACCACCAACCCAACATATATTAATACTGGCTCAGGGGAGCAAATACCCCAAGCCCTGTCCTCCCTTGGCCATTTTACACATGGACAGATATTGCCTGGTGTCTCAGCAGCTGAAATGCAGCTTGATTTGTTTGGTACATGGGTTACAGCAATTAATTGGTTGTATATTATCATTTCAACATGGTTCTAAAACCAAATCCTTTTTTTTTTTCCATAAGGCAAGAATTTCTTTAGCCCTTTTTCTAAGCTCTGTTTAGCAGTATCAAGCTACTACTGACTGGAGCCGAGTAATTGATAAAGAGGGCTATAGATACACCAAAGCAAAATATGTTAAATTTTAATAACACAACCTAAATCCCCAAAGCGTCAAGGTGTTGCCTATGTCAAGCATTTAAATTCCATCTGTCATGTTGGCCTGTACCAGTAGAAAATGCCTGCTAGCAGAGATCAGAGATGAATATATTTTTTGAGAATGTGTGTTTACTTGCTATTTTTTATGCTCCTAATCAGCGTGTTTATTCCCATTTATAGAGCTGCTCATTGAAGGGAAAGTTTCCGTAATTGAAGTATCTCAAGAGTGGCTGTTCCCACATGCCTTCAAGCCATTTTAATGTAAATAACTCCCCAATCTTCTGCAATGTGAAACATGAAAGCAGCCCCCAGGATGCTGATTTCCTGTTGCCTAAAAGGAGCTGCTTCTTTTTTAAAAATATATTTCCCGTCCTCCTGGCTTTCATCAGTGGTTTATTAAGATAGTTATATGCTATTTTATAAAATGAACATTCAGCAATGGATTTTAAAGCAGTCGTCTTGGCACTATTTGTATCTTAACTGATCACAAAATGTAAAGGCAATGTAGTGTCCAAAAAAACACCCTTTTCATGGCGGTTAAGGTTAGGTTCAAAGAAGTATAACTAACATGTTTGTGTTGTTTTGGGGAGGGTGATGGGAGGAAGCAATACCAATTAAAAGTACATATCTGAACAGGGTCTAAACTGTATGTCTGATTGGTATTGCTTGGCTCTTCTTTCCTTTCAGTTCCTTTTACACCTATATTTGTACTGTTCGTACTCTCATGCTCTTTCAGTCCCTTCACCCGATATTCATTGAAACAATAAAATAAAAAAATACATGCATTTTCCACAATACGCATCGCATAGGTATCCACAACCCCCATTTAAAATATTTGCTTTTGGCATGTCAGGCATTTCTCTGCATTATAACGCATAGGTGTGATTGACTCTTAAAGCCCAACTTCTGGCTCCCCCCACCTGTAACTTGATGCATTGGGTCTTCTTCCAACCTTGTCCAGCAGTGGGCATCCTCAATGATGCAGAGAGCAGAATTAACGTAATCACATCAGCACTGCTCTTTGTATCATTGCACTGTGAGTGCAAGGCTCCATGGTAACATCCCAACGGGGTACACTCATAACATGTCGTCCCAGTTAAATTAACTCTTTCTTGTGGTGGAAAAGATACCGCAGGGTACAGGCCTGGAGAAGAGGTAAGTACTGCAGCCAGAGCTGCTTTTTAATTTTGATCACTGCAAGAGGTGCCTTGGGGGGGG